ACACTGAACTGAATTGAAACAAAACTAAACTGAGCTGAAAAATGACACTATTCTCTTCTGTAGAGCTGCTTTACACCTAAAACTGAATTGGTTTAATAATAAACACTGTTAGTTTCCTGTTTATTCATGTGAAGCTACTTTGAAACAACCTGTGTTGTATAGACTTAATAAAGCATTTTTCTTCTGTGGAATAATCCATAAATATTCTGTAACCATCGGGACTGTCATTCATCTATTAACCACTGACTGAATATTTAATAAAGTCTCTTGCCTAAGTAGGTCCAGCTCTCCTCGTCGTCAAAATGTGTATCCCCAGCAACATCAGCCTCCCCTGGGAAGAAGGCATGAGCAAGTGTCCCTCCCTTCCCGTCAAATGGATACCCGTCGTCATGGAGCGAGCGGGCGAAAGAGATCTTGATATCAGCTCTGTCCTGCTCGCTCGCGGATGTAGCGTGAAACTTGAGGTTGGTGACGTCACTCCAGGCTTTGAGGGCATAGACCATTATAGACTCCACAGCATTGGGTTTGAGGAACGGAGGGAGGGATGGGTAATTCTGGATGCTAAAGAGGAACAAAGATAAGTCAGCGGCTGGGGTTATTGTATGGGACCGTGTTTGTTTAACAATGCAGACCTCCATGTGAGGTCAGACTTTTTCCAGCGAAGCCCAGTGGTCGCATATCTTCTTTTCCTCCTCCGCTTTTTCAGCATGTCCTCAGACCCTATAATGTCTGGTAGTGAACACCGTGGCGTGTTCATCAGTTTCAGGGTGTCATTGTCTAGGGAAGCACAGGACAGAAGGTCCCAGATCAATATATAGACTTACAGAGATACAGAGCCCATTACAATACATGAAATAAAAACCCATGTGGGGAGGAATAATTCTTTCTCTAGAAATGTATTGACCAAACTATTTACAAGCCACCAACTGCGGAAAAAGTCACTCTAAATCTTTTCATTACACTTGCGTTTATGAAGAACTGAAATTTGATTTGAAAAACCAACAGGGAAATCTACACTGCTGAAAGAAACGGGGGAAAACAGAAAGAAAGAAAAAAAACACACAGAAAAAGGCTTGTGAAACAATGCCGTTAGACCATTTCCTGCCTGTGTTGCACTTACCAAGTTTGCCTGTGTCTTTGAGGCCAGCGAAACGCTGCATTTCTTTGATGGCTCTCTCAATGCCTTCTTTAGTCTGCAGCTTTCCCGTGCGGGGGTCCGGAGGGGGCAGATATCCATACCTGCTTAACCAATCCTAAGAAAAATCACACGCTAAAAATGTTACTTTAACTTACCAAAGGCAAAAAGACACCTTTTTATATTATATGTGACCCTGGACCACAAAACCAGTCATAAGGGTACATTTTTTTAAATTGAGATGTATACATCATCTGAAAGTCGAATAAATGCTGAATCAAATAAGCATGACTTAACTGCATTAAATATGCATAATTAATATTAACATTAATTATTAAATTATGCCTTGATTCAGCTTTACCATGCTCAGATTTTTCATCAGTCAAAAAACACCAAAACCCACAAAGCACAAATGAGGTAAAGGTGCAGTCACACCCATAACGGAAAGAAACCGGATGTTTCAAACCTCACCAAACTGTTACAACACTCAATAAGGCTCTATTTCTTAAGAGTTGTCACCCTCAGTAAAACAAACACTGCGATTATTATAAACCAAAAAACTGAATGTGTATTTTTTCTTTCATCTGCAGTATTTTATAATTCCCCTTTTAAAAATCAGTAGTGAAAATACATAATCACTAAGGAGTTTTTAAAATTTTTTATAATTGAGACATCATTGACTCAAATGAAACTTTAAAATAATAATACCTAAAATAGGATAGTGTGACAGGAAGTAGTGGCAGGAAGAAAAGATCACAGGGGACCAGGAAATTTACAGACGTGTGTGTGTGTGTGTGTGTGTGTGTATGTTTTAAGAAACAATTTTAGGAGACTGGTTTTACTTTGAAGTTTAAGGCCCCAGTGTATTTAACAGAAGTTCAAACATCTGATGATGATGCAAAGTCATGCAGTTTTGTAACACTCTTCTTGTCATAGGACAAATTTCAACATATTTCTCAAGGTATGTCAGATACATAAACATGTGGTAAGTGATGAAAAAACAGGACTTTGATTAGCAATATCACACCAAGACAGCTATTGTTCAGAATATGTGCTGATATTGAGGTGTGGTCACATTGGCATTGCTTGGCGAAGGCTGGTGAGTGTAATCCAGTCATTTCACTAGGAATCCGCACAGTCATGAAAGTTCCCCACACAGATTTTTGCTCATGTTCAAGCTGGTCACTCAAATTCACTGCGCGGACCAAGAGAAGCTGTTTGGTTTGAAATCGACTTCTGTGTGAGCTGTTGACAATTGACTTTTTTTGCAAAATGTGACCACACCTTGATAATGCTTTTATACAACAGATCAATAAACCATAAATTAATACTGACTAACTTACATTTTGTTGAGTGAATGATACTCTGACTCACTCAAAGTAATCACTTTATGGAAGCTTGTTTGCACCATGGAATAAAAATAAAAACATAAATAAAATTAATTGTGACTTTTTATTTCACATTTTGTTCTGAGTATATATCTCACTATTCGTACCTTGTTTCTCCCAGTTCTGAGAGAAAAAAGTCGGAATTTTGAGATTTTAATTCCGAGTTTATATCTCACAATTTAGACTTGGTTTCTCGCAATTTTTTGTTTAAATCTGACAATTTGGACTGTGTTTTTCACAACTCTGACTTTTTTCTCAGAATTGTAAGTTTATATGAACAAAGTCTGAATAGTAAGAAATAAACTTGAAATAAAGAGCCACAATTCCCTTTTTCATTTTTTTAATCCCGTGTCAGAAATGGGCTTCCATACTTGTCACCAATAACTAACCTGCGGATAGAAATTGTTTGAAGTTTGATTCATTTGGACAGTTAACTCGCGCACTGAATTGTTTGCCTCGGTTTCTCACATTGTAACGACATTCTTAAGACAGAAAACAAAAAGAGCTCTGGGTAAGGTGGATATTTAGGCCTACCTGTCACCCATGGTAGTGATCAATGACAGGACTGATCGTTTATCAGCAATGGAGTTTTTATTTTGTGCATGCAGCTTGTGAACGACTGTAGGCTATTGCAAAGCCTATATATATACAGTATATGTACCAAAAAAAAGTTTGTTTTGGGACACTTTTGGGGGACTTGAGACGAAATTTAAAGGGTTAGTTCACCCAAAAATGAAAATTCTGTCATTGCATTAGCAATTAATCGCAACATGAAAAATTGATACCGGCATATCCCTACATCAGTGGTTCAACTGTAAAGTTACGAAGCTACGAGAATACTTTTTTGCGCAAAGAAAACAAAAATAACGACTTTATTCCACATTTTTGTCTCTACTGCGTCACTTGTAGACGCGCGTTCACGACAGTACCAAGACGCGAGCGTGTGAGTGTGTTTTCTTTGCGCAAAAAAGTATTCTTGTAGCTTCGTAACTTTACAGTTGAACCACTGATGTCACACGGACTACTCTGTCGATCATCTTGGTACTTTTCTGGACCTTGAACGTGGTAGTTACCTTGCTGTCTATGGGAGGGTCAGAGAGCCCTCAGATTTCATCAAAAATATCTTAAATTGTGTTCCAAAGATGAACGAAGGTCTTACGGGTTTGGAACAACACGAGGGTGAGTAATTAATGACAGATTTTTCATTTTTGGGTGAACTAACCCTTTAACTCTCTAAAACTGCCCAAGTGTCTGTGAGCAGTCTTCATTTGGACTTCTTCCTCTTTCTCTGTGTTGTCAGACATCATTTGTTTTCACTTCTACTTTTGATGACAAAGTCATACAAAGTTATTAACACGGCAGACAACATAAGACACGCATGATCATATCTGTGAGCTCCAGAATGTCCATTTCCTGCTGTTTGAAAGTGCCTGCAAACCATCAGTGCTACTTCTCTCTCATCTTTCCCAACCCCCCAACTGCCAGAGAGTGCATCTGAAAGCACTATTAGTGGTACATGACACTGTATCGCTAATGCCTTGAGAGAGAGAGACAGAGAAAGTAAGAGGAAGAGAGATACACAGTGATATATTAATGGCTAGACAATCTGGGTTAATTCCTGCTTCAATAAAACTATTTAAAGCTAGTATAATGACTCATCAAGTGGCTTTGTTGTAGATTCAAATATATGAAACTAGTAAATAGGATATACATAAAGAGATATAAAAAAATCATGTGACTGGTGTAATGCAATGGGAATATCCCTTTTGGAAGTGAAACCATTTACATGTGTGTATGTACAGTGAAAAATGTTCATATGCTTATTTGGTTAAATGGACTAAAATGATTATGATCAATTGGGATGAAGCTGTATTTGAGACAATTACAACATACAGTTCATGATTGCAAGATAGATATTTTATTGAAGGGTTTAATGCATACATGAAGTAGGTTGACTATCTTGAGTGAACACAACATCCACATATAGTACAAGAGGGTCAAAAATTGACATAAAAATATTTTAAAATACCGGTTTAAAGGAATAGTCAGATTTGGAGAAATTTAGCATAAAAGCATAACAGTAATCCACAGTTAATCTACACGACTCCAATTAATGTCCATCAATTATGGACTCGAATTCTGTCCAGAAGAAACCGTTTAAAGCTAAAACACATTAATGATAGATTCGTTTCTCACAAAAACACAGCTTTTCAATTCACAATTCATTAATTGTTGGACTGGAGTGGTGTGGACTACTTGCAGATTATTGTGATGCTTTTATCAGCTGTTTGGACTCTCATTCTGACGGCACCCATTCACTGCAGAGGATCCATTGGTGAGCTAGTGATGTTGGTAAAAATTCTCCAAATCTGTTCCAGTGAAGAAACAAACTCATCTACATCTTGGATGACCTGAGGATGAGCACATTTTTAGCAGATTTTCATTTTTGGGTGAACTATTCCTTTAAGCGTGGCTGTCATTAAATAAAAAGCGAGATTCTGAACAGTCTGAAATTAGTTAATTTTTCAGTTCAGCTTTTCATGTTGTGCTGATAACATTTGAATCAAAAAGTGTGTTGTTAATTTTAAAAGAATGAAAAAGAAGCAATTTCATTGTAAATCCTTATTTCTCTCTCTCCTCCACACACACACACAAAGAGAGAAAGAGCATAAAAAATCCATAAACTGTAGTTTAAGCACAGAGATAGTTTCCTAATATTCAAACATTTTCTCAGAGTCATAAATATATACTGTATGACACTATGTTCAATATAAATACTTTGGCTTGCCAGATGAGATATGCTGGAGATTTTTGCATATAGTATTCACTGATGTGATAGTCACTTTCTGCTTTTTAAATCAAACAGCTGTTCACTGGTCATTGATTAAGTGCAAATATAACTGGCTTTCAGTCCCTTCTCTGATTGAACTTGGCATTTGCCTTGATTGTCACAAGGTTACTGAGGTTTGTGAAAGGATAAGGTCAAAAACATTTCATAAAAAGTGATATATCACAGATCTGATTATGAAAATGATAACAACAAATAAATGACTTTAAAGGGAAAATTGCAGTGGAGAAATGAGGAATTATCATTAAAGAAGTTGAAACCACAGTTATGTTATTAAAACATCATAATATGATCCGCAATTCTGCAAAGTTGCTACCAGGAACTTACAGCAAGAGACATTTGCTAACAAACAGCACGAATGTCATTGCACAATGCTTCATCATGTAAATCATATACATTCCTGTTTGTCTGAAATTGAATGGAAGCAAATGCAGCACACTGTCATCAGATCTAAAAATATGGCTAAAATAAATGTGCATGTCAAATTAAGGAATTTTGTTCTTTAGGTTTAACCATCAGAGGATTATTTCCCTCAGCATTTAGAACATTTTGTTTTTGACCTTTTGTAAACATACATATTTAGTATTCTAATGCAAATTCTACCTCGCCTTTTCTTTTCACTGCAGTCTGGCCCAATACTGCCCCATATTTTGATCATTTCCTGGTACCTGGACAGGTACAGAAATGCCTGGAGAAATCAAACCTAAAGTAGAAAAAGATTAAAGAAAAATAATAATGCACTTTTATCTATTAAAATAATAATTCGGTCTAAAATTAAAATTGGCTGAAGATTTACTCACTCTCACCAAGATGTAGGTGAGTTTGTGTCTTCATCGGAACCGATTTTGGAAAAATGTAGCATTCCATCACTTGCTCACCAATGGATCTTCTGCAGTGAATGGGTGCCGTCAGAATGAGAGTTGATAAAAACATCACAATAATCCACACCTCTCCTGTCCATCAATTACTATTATTTGTTTCTTTCAGACACGCAGCTTTTCACTTCTCGAATTGATGGACTGGAGTGGTGTGGATTATTGTGATGTTTTTATCAACTCTCATTCTGACGGCACCCATTCACTGCAGAAGCTCCATTGGTGAGTGAGTGATGGAATGCTACAGTTCTCCAAATCTGTTCAGATGAAGAAGCAAACTCATCTACATCTTGGATGTAGTAGGTAAGCAAATTGTCGGCAAATACGAATTTTTGGGGGGCAAACTATTCCTTTAAAACAACCAACAAACAAATAACTAAATCAATAAATAGACAGGAGCTTTTGAAACTGTAATTGTCGGGATCTTGCGATGGATAGCACAGGGCTTTAGCTGTCCTACAGACAGTAAATGAAGAGCTGGTAGACTCACCTGTGCTGGTGTTAGCTGAAGGAGGAGGTGGTAGATGGGGAGAAGAGTATGACGTCTCAAAAGAGTGAGGGGCAGACGGGGATGGAGGCAGCATGCACGAGTATGAGGAGGCAGATGGAGAAGGAGCCGACTGCAAAGAAAAGTCCAATAGAGCGAAATGCAGTGAAGAACAGAATCATATACCAACATACTACTGTGCACAGTATGCATTTTATACTACATATACAGTATTAGTACATTACTATATTTGCCAAAATGTACAACAATAAGCATTGCATGTAAGCTGTACTGCTCTAAAAATTATTTTGAAACCATTTTCATTCAGAAATTGTTTAGATAAATTAATATTACTAAAAAAAATACAAATAACATTGAATTAAACATGATTTTTTTTTCATGTGCTTGATGATTTCATGTGATACTACTGATTGAAACGTTAATCATTAAATAATGCCTATCATTTTGCTCTGTGTAGACACTACTGCACATTCAGTGAGTAGTCAGCTAGTAGGCTATTCCATTCTAAAGACAGACAGATTTTCTGGTGATCACTGATGTCAGTTTCATTGTCACCACAAGAGGGCACTAAAACATAATAGTACAGATGCACATAGCCCTGAAAAATTGGTAGTGCAATGTTTTGCGATATAGAAATGTGAACCTCCTAAAATGAGCAGTAGTGTCTCACCTGAACCCCAGAGTAGACTGACAGAGTGTTGTAACTGGGGAGAGCCGTGTCACTCTGACTGAACATGGATGCTAAACACACATAAACAAAGACGTGAGAAAAAAAATAATAAATCAAAAAACATATGAGGTAGGCTACAGCACCCATCCATAAAAAAAGTGTCTCACACGGCTCCGGGGGGTGAACAAAGGTCTTCTGTAGCGAATCGATGCATTTTTGTAAGAAAAATATCTATATTCAAAACGTAATAACCCCTTTAATGTAGCTTGCAACAACAGTTGTACACTGGAAGCAGCTCCGGGCTGATGGCGTATGAGGTCGGCTTTGCGCATGCGCCGGTGAGTCTCGTTGTTTACAGGATCAAAGGAAGCAAAGTTTCCTTACTTTAGCAAAGTTTTGTTTTGATCTCTCCTCTGCGCTTCCGCATTCGTCACTTCTGAGCGGCGCATGCGCAAAGCCGACCTCATTCGTCATCCTCCCGGAACTGCTTCCGTGTAAAACTGTTGGCGCAAGCTACATTAAAGTGATTATTACGTTTCCGACTGGATTCGTCTGAAAGAAGAAGGTCATATACACCTAGGATGACTTGAGGGTGAGTAATTTATGGGCTAATTTTAATTTTTGGGTGAACTAACCCTTTGAGGGTTATGAGTATATATGAAATTTTAAGAATAATTCTTAATTCATAGAAATAGTTATTAAAGCATCAACACCATAAATGAACACAAACTGAATTATGAGAATTATGTAAGTAATCACAAAAGGCTAAACAAATAAAAATTTTACATTTTAGCTTCTTCAAAGGCACAAACAAACAAATACATTTTAATTAGGTAAATAAATTATTCCAACAATTTCAAAACTGATTTAAAGTGTTTAAAAATGTTTTTTAAGTTCACTAGAAACATAAAATCATGCACATACAAATAAGATGAGAAAGGGGAAAAGTGTCCAGTACGGTATTCAAATTTCTCATTTATGTAAATCTCCATTCACACCTGCACTGTTGCCATGCGGATGATGATAGACAGCTGAGTTAAAGGATGTGCTCAGTGAAGCGTGTGTTTGAGCACAGGAAGTCCCGCCTCCAGACCGCCTCTGGTTTCGAAGCTTATCCTCGCGCCTCCATTTGGCTCTTCGATTGGAAAACCACACCTGCCAATCAAGGTCCAATGTATATGAAATGATCTATCATATTTATTTTGCTTCGACAAATTGACAAGGACAGTAATAACATAACACACCCTAATGTACACTACTGACAACAACAACAAAAATATTTATATAAAATATATCATGTGATGTTACGCAGGGACTTCTATGAACACCCTTTTACTGTTTTTCTCCAAAAAAAAAAAACGAACTCTGTTTTTACAAAAAAACATGTTTGACAGTATTTTACAGTAAACTTACATATATGATAACCCTTACAATTTTTCACACTATACTGTAATATTTTTTATATTTATATAGTTTTTTACTCTAGCATTTTAGTGTTTTGTATTACAAAATGTTATACTTTTGAAAAAGTGAGACAACTAGACCATGTCTAAAAATTTTATTTTGTTACTCAAATGTTTTGAGTGTTGCTTTTACAAACATTTGTGGACTCAATACAGCATTTTCTAACAAAATTATAAGAAAGAGCAAAGAAAAAGAATACAAATCCAACTCACCAGCCGTCACATTACGAGCAGCACATCCACGGCAGCACAGCAATGTTATCCCTCTTTTTAAATGTTATTGAGGGTTTCCTGACAACTTGCTTTGTTAACAATGAACTGTGTGTGTGTGGAGTGACAGAGAAATAGAAATGCATCTGCAGGCAATTCTGCCCTTAAAGAGAGAGAGAGAGAGAGAGAGAGAGGAGAAGAGTGACACAGCGAGTCAACATCAGTGTCAAGTTTGAACTTAATGCCAGAGAGAGAGAGCAGCAAAAAGAAAAAACTACAGATAATGGAGTGATGAAAAAGAAGAAGAGGGGAATGGCAGAAAGGAGCAGAGTTTAATATTAATTAGCCTGCACATGTTAAAAGATAAGTGGGATTTGGGAGGGAAAATGAGAGATCATTGGACATTCCTGAAGTGGACATTTTTGCATTTCTTCTCACAACTTAAAAACACATTCATTTTAATCTGTTTGTTTCAGCATGACGGAATCTACAGTTCTGCGTTAGATCGATTTCAAAGACTTGTTTCATTAAATGAAACAAAGCTAAACCAATTGAGCAATTTTGTCTTTCAGTATCCATCTCTTTAGTTTATCTACAGAATAAAATACATGTCCACAACTGGGAAAACTGGGAATTTTATGGGTTAATTCAGATCAATTAAGTCTGATTAAATTATATTTGATGTGGCCTTTCTCATTGAATACATTAGATCATAATTGAACATTTTGAAACATTTAAACACAAAGATTTCCCAGAATTACTAATGTATATTTAATGTGATAAACACAATAAATTATATGTTGAGGATAGAATAATGAGAGAGCAATGAGAGTTGGATGAGGGTATAAATAAACCACTGTGTGTGTGTGTGTGTATGTGTGTGTGTGCGCGTCTGTTGGCTGGGAACAGGGGGATGCCACATTACTTTATTTCCAGTTGGCAAGACTTTACATCCCCTACCTCTGTCTCTCTCATACACTGCACATGCTTTATCAAGCAGTTACAGGAAAATTAAATATGTAAAATAACATAAATTGTACAATATCAAGTAATTGTTATTGTTATTAGTAGTAGTATTAAAACAGATTTTGTTATTTATTTGTGTCTGAGTGAACATAATAATAATAATAATAATAATAAAAGTGGTAGTAGTATTAAAACATATTGATGTCTTTATTTATTTATTATATCTGAGGAGGCATCTTAATAATAACTATTATTATTAAATCATATTTATTTATTTCCTATTTATAATGGGGCATATCATCATCATTATTAAAGCATAATATTTATATCAGAAAGTTTTTTTTTTTAATCATAAGAAACATAGTGTCCAACCTTTTGACTGTGTATTTTAATGTCATGATATAGCCTATGTGCACTATATCATAGATATTATAGCATATTAACCTAAATTTTGGGTTGTGGTACAGATGTGCATTTTCACTAGCCTACGTGTCACTACGGTTATTCTCTGCATGCGTGTATTTATGAGTCAATCACGTGACAGTGCGGGTCCGTGTGTGTGTGTGTGTGTGTGTGTGTGTGTGTGTGTGTGTGTGTGTGTTTCTTGCAAAGATGCATATAGCTTTAGGACATGCATATTTGTTTAACTAACCCCTCACCCCACCATCTCTCCATCCCTCTCTCTACCTCTTTTCCTTTTTAGCGCTGGGGGTTAAAAGTGGGGCCGGAGGGGGCTGTGGAGGGAGAAGAGATGGTCACCATAGCAACAATGTCACGACAAATATTCATCAAGTCCTTAAAACAAAGCCGAGCGGAGCAGCTTTATCAAATAACTCGCGCAGTTCATCCTGCGACAGTCGGCAGAGAGACGAACTGCAACACTTCACCGAGGAGAATGAATAGCTTTCTTCCTCAGGTAATCAAAAATAAACTTTCCCGTCTTTTTTGATTTTGACCGGTGGTCGTGCTACTTTAGTGGAACGGTGACTTCCTTCAACACATTCTTTCCGTTTCTGTGGTCCAGTTCCGCGGTTTCTTCATCGTGTTGTGCTGCCCCCGGCGACACCGCGCTGCCTCCTCTCTCCCGTCCCTCCTCTCTGTCCCTGTCACCTTCAGTCGTGCTGTAAAAGCAGACACAGAGCCTGAGGACACAGCGAGAGGGACACAACCGAGACAGAGACACAGCAGCAGCTCAACAGAAGAGGAAGGTGAACACGGAGTCATGTGGTGATTATCGTCGGCATCTGTCCGCTTTAGACATTATTAATAAGTGTTTAAGTGCCCGCTTGTGTTTAAACAGAATTTAAACGATTTAAAGGGATTTTTTAATGCAACAAAAGAACAACTACAAATAAAAAGACAGAATAAGAACAAAATAAAGACAAATGAGGGTTACATACATTAATCCAAAGCATAGCCTGCTAGCTTATAAAATGAAAGAGTCTTACATGCAATAGAATTATTAGAGCTTCTTAAGGAGTTTACATAGACATCAAAATCTTTCTTGAAAACAAAAAGTGTACAAATGTAAAATCTGTCAAGAAATAGCAATAATTTAATAATACATTTAATTTGAGAAGGGTCTAGATTCAAGGAGTAACAAAAAAAACAAACAAAAAAACACATTTTTTGGGGTTATACAGATGTTTGGACGTAAATATTTTTTAACAAAATTGGAAAAGTCAACCCAGAACACTTTACAATAAGCACAGTCCCAAAATAAATGATTGATTGTTTCTTCAGACTGAAGACAAAAGGAGCAATTGGGGGAAATCCAAGTTTAATATTTACCGGGTAGCAATTATGGATATATGGATTTTAATAGAGACTTCAACAACTTTATTAGATGTCGAAGAATCCAAAAATCTCCCCATTCTATATCACTAAACATCTTATTTCAAAAACTCACACAAGCAGGTAAAGAAAGATCTATTAATAATTGAACTAATGTCTTTGTTTGTCATGGTATTGAAAAGACGTTGGTCAAAAAATAGGAGAGTTTAAAGAACCTTTAGGGCCAGACTAAAGTATAATACAATCAGCAATTGCACCAAAAACAATGGCATATTCTCTTGGGGGACCGGAAAAGACAATTCTTGCATTAATTGTTCATATACTGTAAGTGAAATGGACACCACGATCTTCTAAAAGTTGACTGATTAAAGTATATTTTTATCAAACCAATTATGAAAAAAATACATTTATTTTTCTATCTAATATTTTTATCCAAATAAAATAACTATGTGGAGAAAATGTATAATTATATATAAGGGACCAACTTATTAAAGCCTGTTTATGAAAACTAGATAAAGTTAAAGGTATTTTAGATGTCAAAGTTGCAGCGCAACAAAAAATGTAAACCTCCAGTTGAATTAAGTATATGATTTGAAATAAAGTTCCAACAGCACGTGGGGTTGTTTAAAAATGTCTTTAACTTTAAAGGAATTATTAATAGTGGAAAAATCCACTAACTCAAAACCCCCATAGCACGATCAGCTATAGCATAATGCTTTTTTTTATCAAGTGAGATTTAGAATTCCAAACAAAGTCTACTCTAATTTTGTCCAGTGTTCTACAAATTTCCACAAAAACATCCAGTGCCATTGCAGGATAGATAACCCGAGATAACCCATCTGCTTTATAGAAAGCAACACTCTACCTGTTATTGACAGATCACGCTGTAACCCGATTTAAAGGGATAGTTAACACAGAAATTAAATTTCTTTCGTGCGAAAACGCCAAAAAGTGGGTAGTTCCACAATTAGTTCTGGTACTATGAAAAGGTTCCCGCGGTGCGAAAGGCCCTATTTACTCACCCTCAATTTGTTCCAAACCTGTATGAATTTCTTTCTTCTGTTGAACAGTTTTGTGGGTAACCAAACAGTTGTAGCCAACGGTAGCCATTGACTTCAATATGTGATGTTAACCACTGAATTCTAGAAAAACGTCATCTGTTGGTTATCCACATTCTTCAGAATTTCTTTTGTGTTCAACAGTAGAAAGAAATTCATGCAGGTTTGGAAAGATATGAGGGTGAGTAAAGGATGACAGAATTTGTATTTTCAAGTGAACCGTGCCTTTAACAATTCAACTTTTTGTGTAAAATAACTGCTAATTTCACTGCAACCTTTTCTGTACATCTCTTTTACTGCCATTCCAACCATGGAATGCAGGCAAATATTTTTAAATATTTATTTTATGTTTCCTGATGTTCACTTCTAATGTTGTTTCATAATTACATCAAAAGCAGTCATAATATTTACTACATATGTTTTCTACACTGTTTTTGGCCCTCTGGTTAAAATACTCCTCTTTAAGGGGTATTTCTTTTTTAAGTAGAAAATGGATCATTTTGGCAGCTTGGTTTCAGTAAAAGCTGTTTTTAAACTAACAAGGAAGTTTTGAGTTCACTTCAACTTACTTTATGCATTTTTTTTTAAGATTTAAGATTACACTGCTGCACTGGTTATTGTAGTGTAAATCCTGACTGATTTAACACTTCAACATGTGACCACCACAAAATCACAAATTCATGATCACAAAATAAATGCACTTATTCTTTGTTGATAACATCCTAGGCATTATAAGGCCACTGATACACTAAACCTGTTATGCATGTTTCGCAGTCATGTGCATGCAAAAAAAGGGACTGATTGTTAAAACCTGTTTACAAAAGTCCCTGCAACCCACACAGTAGTATTTAGTAGTTAGATGACATTTTCACACAATAGTAATTTAGCAGCTTTTTAATGGGAAACAATTAAATCAACCACTTTTCAACAAAGCCGCAGAACAAGGTAGAAACCGTGAAGCCTTACTCATTTGTTCAAATTACACAAATGATTGACTTAGAGCCTATATTTTGAAACCTGCATTCATTAGTACACTGCAAACACCTTGCCCTGCCACAGTCTCGGACAAAGTCCCCGAATCAAAACAGAGAAACCAGAACTGCTAGAGGTGAACGAGTGGGCGGGGTTTGTGCTCATTGAGGGCGGGACGAACGCTCCTGATTGGTCATTGTTGTAAAGGTAGACATCGTTTGAACAAAATCAAAACAAAGATCTCAGGTAGCTATTTTTTTTTTCATGAGCGAAACTTCCGAGGTCTCGATCTTCAGCTCTCCTGACTTCGTCGAACAAGGAAGTGATTATTTCTAGAAACATATTCCAAGTCCCTGGAGCGAAGGTAACGTTATTTTGATAGGATGCGGTACACCTCATGTATTCGGACTGCCTTCGTCATGCTGATTGGTAGGTGCATAACTTTAATGTTTTTCTTTATTAAAAAAAAAAAAAAAAAAAATTAGCGTATTAACAATTAAATATAGGACTGTAACCTCATTGTTTTGTTTTATGTTGGGCGCCATTCAGGGTTCTGGATGGGCGAGGCTCAAGGTAAGAAATTGACCTAATTTGCTCTAGGGTTGTGTTTGTCTGTCAGAGGGAAACATACCAGCTAAAATAAACACTTAACGCGTTATCTTACCCGTATATACTTAAAATGTGAATTGGTTTATGAGAGTAAAGCAAACAAATCACCAGAATCAATGTGTTTGACTCAGAATGTGGTCGGCCACAACTGCTGAACAGGATAGTCGGAGGCTCCGCTGCGTCAGAAGGCGCGTGGCCTTGGCAGGTGGATATTCAGGTAAGAATGGCAGCCATTATGAAACTAAAGTTTTGGAAAACTGAGGCAGAGTTCACAGGCTTTAGTTACATAGAATACTTTACTGCAGCTCAGTCGAACAACACCGAGATCATAGTTTAATGCATAACCTGATCAAATGTATGCCCTGAATGAAAAATAATCATCATCAAGATTTTTTTGTTCAGGTCTCATGTACAATTCTATAATAATTGTTCATAATTTTACATATTGACTGAAAAGGTGTAGGCTGAAGCCTTAGCTTATTTTACCTACCCTTTTTTAATAATAAGTGTCGCGTCGTCCACTTTCACATTTAATCTATACAAAAATATACAAAAACAGTTACTTAAAGGAGTAGTTCACTCAAAACTGGAAATTTCAGGCCATCCTAGATGTAGATGAGTTTGTATCTTCATCAGATTTGGAGAAATGTAGCATTCTATCACTTGCTCACCAATGGATGCTCTGCAGTGAATGGGTGCCGTCAGAATGAGAGTCCAAACAGCTGATAAAAACATCACAATAATCCACAAGCAGTCCTTACTTAAGGACTTAAGTTTGATTTGACCAGGAAAGGTTTTACAATTGATGTCATATGTAAATGTAAAACATCTTGTATAATCTTAATTGTTGTATTTTTTTATTTATATATATATATATATATATATATATATTTAAGCATCTTGTGTATTTTTTTTGTAACCTAGCTTTTGAACATAGCCTGATGCTGACATGGCATATCATAACAAAAATAAACACCGGTATTCGGTATGAACCGGTATACCGCCCAGCACTAATTAAAATCTATATTACCGTTACTATAGTACTGTTACAAATAATCCACACAACTAGTCCATCAATTAATGACATGTGAAGGGAAAAGCTGTGTGTTTGTAAGAAATCCATCATGAAGATGTTTTTAAACTTCAGACAAGTCCACTATGCGGAATACGTTTTCTCTAGTGAAAAAGTTGTCTCGTCTGAATCGGGAGAGAGATAGACACAAATCAAGCACCATTTACAAGTTGAAAATAAGTTTAGAACAGTTCAAAACAAATACATTGGTGGTTTTTGACTGGAGAAAGCATTATTATGAATTATGGCCAGAAGCAATGGTTTAAAATAATAATAATAATAAAAAAAGGTTGCGTCATGTGGGTTCCTTGTGGATTATTGTGATGATTTATCAGCTGTTTGGACTTTGATTCTGATGGCACCCATTCACTGCAAGAGATGTACTATTAAAATTCTCCAAATCTGTTCCGATGAACAAACTCATCTGCATCTATAAAGGCCTGAAGGTGAATACATTTTCAATGTATTTTTGGGTGAGCTATTAAAAAAATAAAGGACAAAAATGTATTGAGACCTTTATAGATAACTGAAAATTACACTTTTTATATTAAATTCATACAATTGTTTCAAGTACTTTATGCACAAGTTGTTTATGAGCTATATATTTGTTTATCACCTTTTTAAATTTGCAAGATGAACTACACATTTTTAGTTCCTTGTTGCAGTTTCTCCACAATATATACATCTATTTTTTAGATTTCTCCTTTCCCCTTTTTTTTTTTTTAATAAACAAAAAGCCTTTTAATTTTATTGTCAAGGTTTAGGATACATTCTGAATTGTCTGTCAAATCTGGTTTCTTTTTTCGATATCCTCCTGATGTCTGGTTGATGTGTGTGTTTAGACTGACAGTCAAGGACATGTGTGTGGAGGAACTATCATCTCAGAGAACTGGGTCCTGTCTGCTGCACATTGCTTTCCCAAGTAAGTTTTACACCTTTTTTTCAACACCCATATAATCCTTGTTTGCTTACTTTTCAGCTTTTTATATATATATCAATTTCTCTTCCTTGTCCAGTCCTAATGACATCTCCTCTTACATGGTTTACGTGGGCCGGCAGCAGCTGAACGGCTGGAACCCAGACGAGACCAGCCATAGGGTCTGCCGTGTGGTGGTTCCTCTGGGTTACACAGACCCTCAGCTGGGTCAGGATATTGCTTTAGTGGAGCTGGCCACAGCTGTCGGGTGGTCTGAGCGCATTCAGCCTATCTGCCTGCCATATGCCAATGTGGAGTTCAGCAGCGACATGAGGTGCATGATCAGTGGATGGGGTGACATCAGAGATGGAGGTGAGTGAGAAACCCACACTACAGGCGTCTGAAATTTCATCCATGTGCAAGCTGTGATGTTAAATGTATTTAACTTTGAAATTACAGTGACATTACATTCAGTAGTAATTAGTAGTAGTGTGTATAAGTAGATAAATAATTAAAAAAAATACTAAACAATACTTGTTTTAAATGCTTCAAGTGAAATAGGCCTCACAACATTATTTTAACATGAAATGTGAATGGAAAGTCATTATGAGATCTGCTAAAGATTACATGTATTAGTGTTATTATAAAGATTAAGTGTGTTAGCTGACCGCAAAGATATCTTAACACGTAAAATTAAAGATGTTAAAGAACTGCTATTTTATTTATTGTGAAACAATAGGGAAATGGTGTGGCTGAATTATATTGGATTGCTTGAAAATAGACTTGTTGGATGATTTCAAATGGGGTCTAAATGTAAACATGGAGCATATGAGTATGCACAACTCAATATCCAATTGACTGATAACTGATGAGGTTCCGATATATTGTTAATTTCTGCTATTTAATATCTTGATGCAAATTTATGGTGCACATTTTCGCTGAAAATGTTTGTCTTCTTAAGGTCATTAAAGTTCAGTACGTTCAAAAGTTTGGGGTCATTGAATTTTTTTTTCTCTGGTGAGCATAAAGGTCTTTGCACAAATTTCTTTGAGTCTGAAATTTTCGTATGCGTTTTTTCGTATTTGTCATCGTCACGCACAGAAACCTTGCTTGCACACTGAGTCAAAATGCTTGCTACGGATGCGAAAAACGCAGAAAATTGAACCTGATCTGAACTTTTTTTTTTTATTTTGGATGAACGTTTCGGATGCAGTTTGTAAATGTGATGCAATGTGAGGTCATTTATTTTTTAACGTGCAAAAATTTCGGACTCGGTGTGCAAAGACCTTTAGTCTCTAATGCTCACCGACGCTGCATTTATTTGCTCAAACATACAAAAAAGCAGTAAAATTGTGAAATATTATTAAAATTTCTAAATATTTTAAAATGTAATTTATTGCTGTGATCAAAGCTGAATTTTCAGCATCCTTCAGAAATCATTCTAATGTGCTGATTTGCTATTTAGGAAACATTTCTGATTATCAGTGTCTTCTTTTTTTTTTTTTT